CCCGCCCTCCTCGGCAAGATGGCGGCGCCCAGCTGGGGCGTGCTGCGCCTCCGGGTTCGGGGTTCCGGGCGGGGTGGGGGCAGTCTCCTCTGTCTCGTCCCAAAGCCATTTTGTACCGCCGCCGCTGCTGCTTCTAAGCCCCTGGACGCCCAACGGTTAGCGGAGAAGCTCCGAGCCCAGAAACAGGAACAAAAGGCGAAGAAGGAGCCGGTGAGTCCGGCGGGAAAGACTACAATTCCCAAGAGGCAGTGCGCTCTGGTTCCCCAGGTGGGCGAGGGTCCTCTGAGAGAATGCAAGGAAAGGACCTGGTCGGTGGTGGAGAAGGGGGAGAAAGCGGAGGGACAGGTCTGCAGTATGCGGTGCCTTCCTGTGGGCTGGTCTTTGGCTCCCGCGGGCTCGGCGCTAAGCATCCCCGCTCTCACTTTACTGGGAGAAGGCGCGAGTCTACTGCAAAGGTTCAGGGATGCCCTCCCTGCCCAGATGCCCACCCAGGCTTCTTGAAGGTCTTCCCCATCAGGCATTTCCCATCCCTTTCTCTCACCCCCTAGGAGCTCAAAAACCCTGTCCAGCGGAGAGTGCACGAACTAGTGCGGTTCACGCAGCAGCTGCAACGAGTCCACCCCAACGTGCTCGCTAAGGCCCTGAGCCGAGGGATTGTCCACCAGGACAAGGACCTCGTGGTCATCAATAAGCCCTATGGTCTCCCTGTGCATGGTAAGGACCACGTGGGAAAGGGAGGGAGGCCGCTGCTGCTCTCTGCTACAATTAGGGGCAACACTCAGATGTCACTTCGGGGACTCGCAGCAGCCTTGCATTCAAAATAATTTAAATGTTCGTGGAGTACTGTCCTATATAAGGCACTATTGAGGAAACAGATCAATAAGACAGCTTCAAACATCTGGCAGTCAGCAGTGATTTGTGGAATGTGCTGTGTGCAGACCTCCACAGGGATTGTGTAGAAGAATATAAAGGCGTGTGATTCTTGTCTTCAGGTTATTTTCCAGCAAAACTGGGTGAGAGGAAATAACATATAAGAAAAAATTGTGTGTGTGTGTGTGTGTGTGAGAGAGAGAGAGAGAGAGAGAGAGAGAGAGAAAATAGCCAACAAAACTAAACCCCAGGGAACCTAGAACTTCATGGACACGCAAATGCTTTTGAGTAAATGTTGAATGTGTCAAGAGAGAATACCCAACAAAACAAAACCCCATGGGACCTAGAACTTCATAGACACGCAAATGCTTTTGAGTAAATGTTGAATGTGTCAGACAGCTGGAGTGAGTCAGGAAAGATGGAAAAAGAATGCGTTTGCGGGGAAGGGGAGAGGCATCTTTTAGTTGGAAGAAGAATGCTTTTTGGAAGATATGGAGAAGGTTGTACATGAAGGGAAGGAATTAAACCTTGCCAAGTGCTTCGTGTGGATTTTTTTCTCTGTTGACTTTCACAGTAGTTTCTTGTCTTCTCAACTCCCATGAGATAATTATAATACGGACATTTACATTTTATAGATGAGAAGACTGAAAGTTAGAAAGATTAAGCAACCTGTCTAAGCTCATGGTAGTTAGGAGAGAACATAGAGTGGAACCTAAGAATGTCTCACCCCAGCAGCTCTCAGCTCTCCTGTGATGCTTCAGGAGGGCCTCAGGATCTTACATTTCTCACTCAACTTAGCAAATTCTCCAGCCTTTGTTTATATAGTAAAAGATCAGGCCTCCTCGTTTTAGTTGCTGATTTTAGTGTGAGTGCATGTATAGTACATAAGAGGATTAAAGAATATTTGTATCTGCGGAGAAAGCCCTATCCATGCTCTAGGGTAGTACTTCTCAAAGATTAGTATGCATATGAGTTACTTGGACATCTTTTATTTTTTAAAAAAATATATTTTGTATTGATTTCAGAGACCTGCGGAGAAAGCCCTATCCATGCTCTAGGGTCGTACTTCTCAAAGTTTAATATGCATATGAGTTACTTGGACATCTTTTATTTTTAAAAAAATATATTTTGTATTGATTTCAGAGAGGAAGGGAGAGGGAGAGAGACATAGAAACATCAATGATGAGAGAGTCATCGATTGGTTGCCTCCTGCAGGCCTCCCACTGGGGACCAAGTCGCAACCCAGGCATGTGCCCTTGACTGGAATCAAACCTGGGACCCTTCAGTCTGTCCACTGAGCCAAACCAGCTAGGGCTGGACATCTTGTTAAAATGCAGATGTTGATGGATAGTCTGGGCTGGGGGCCTGAGGTTCCTTTCTAGCAAGCTCCTTGGCATAAGGATGTTGGGTGTCCCTGGATAAGGCCCTGGGAAGCGTTGACAGTTAATCCAGTAAGGGCTTTCTTTCTCAAGCAGAGTTCTTTGGTGGGGTCTTTTCCTGGCCGCTCAAACCTCTGTCTTTTCCCATCGTAGGTGGCCCTGGGGTCCAGCTCTGCATCAGTGATGTCCTCCCTATCCTGGCCAAGGTGCTTCATGGCCACAAGGCAGAGCCCCTGCATCTGTGCCACCGGCTGGACAAGGAAACTACAGGCGTCATGGTGTTGGCTCGGGACAAGGAGGTGGCACACCAGGTCCAAGAGCTGTTTAGAACCCGTCAGGTGGTGAAGAAGTACTGGTATGGAGCCCGCTGATAGCGGTAGAGGCGGTAGATGTGAAGGCATCCCTTTCTTCTATTTGTGCATTCGTACAGCGGCCACTCCTGTTAACAGGAGGCAGTGTGCTAGGACCTGCAGGCATTGGAAAGGTGTAGGAAGCAGACTTAGTGCTCTGATAGAGTAGTCGCTCCTCATAATGGCTATACGTGAAGACCACTGAAAATTAACTTATAAAAATAATACATGATTTCTGTGGTCAAATAGTCAAATGACAAAAATAAAGCAAAGAACTCCCGGAGAATCCATCCACTCTGTCATTTCTGTCCCTTCCCTTGGAGCAGTTTGCTTTTTATTCCTCCCGTCCTGTATCAACATATTTATGTATATGTATGTAGTATATACAGTATGTATGTTTGTGTATCTACACACACACACATGTATGTGTACATGTGTATATCACATTGTACGATGTACATTGTACTTTCTTTTCCCACTTAACTCTGTGACTTGGGGATCCTTCCATGTTAGTGCATACAGGGTTCCCTCAGTTTTTAATAGAAGAAAGATACAGGAGCAAAAATGAAAGCTACTCCTGTCCCCCATCTACTCGGTTTCCTTTTCCAGAGGCAGTCTCTATTGCTAGAGTCCTGAATGGACTTCCCGAGTTCACGGGGCATGGAGAAGCGTGTTACTGTGTGGCAGCGTATTTCGAATTGCTTGCATCCCGCCCTTCTCACTGGGACAGTGTATCTCGGAGAGCGTTTTGTGCTTTTAGACCTGGCTCCTCTATGGCTCTATCGTATTCCATGGTGTGGACATACCATCATTTCCTCATTGCAGATGTTTAGGTAATATCCCACTTTTCAGACCTTTTGCGGAGAATATGTGAGTATATCTTCAGGACAAAATCCTAGAAATGGAATTGCTGAGTGGAAGGTACATACAGTTTAAAATTTGAATACTTAACTACCCAATTTGCTCTCCAAAATGGGTTTGTCAGTTTCCACTCTCTCCCCCAGGGGTGAGTGTTCACCTCCTCTCATGTCTGACCAAAGTGTTTTTAAAAGGATTACCAGTCAGATGGGTAAAAAACAAAAAATTTTTTTAAAGGGTGTTTTATTTTCAGTTTGCCTGTGTACTTTTTTTTTATTGTTGGCAGTATTACAGAAACCCCCCCATTTTCCCCCACTTGGACCCCGTCCACCCAGCCCCCACCCCACCCCAGGCCTTCACCACCCTATTGTCTGTTGACTGTCTTTCGTGTTTATTGTCTATTTTGAGTTTCCCTTTCTGTAAACAGACTTATTTCTTTTGCTCACTTTCTGTTGGGTTGTTTATTATTTTCTACTTGATTTGTAAGTATTCTTTTTGGGTGAGGTAATGCATGTGAAGTGTTTAACACAGTGCCGAGCTCATAGGAAAAGCTGAAAGATGGAAAACCAAGACTATTATTATGTATGCAAGTAATCAAAATATAAGTCTATGAAAAATTGCTATATTCTTTGTGAAAATCGTCCATGAAATTTCAGAATGGGTAACCATTCTCAGTAATAGGCTTCACAGAAGAGTTGAAATCAATTAATTGGGTCTTGATGAATGAATAGGATTTGATCAACAAGGTGAAGAAATGTGTTGTAGATTGTGGGAATGGCAAGCACAAAGGAGTGAGGCATACAGTCCAGTCGGGTGGTGAGTGGTGGCAGATAGAGCTGGGAAGGTAGGCCAGAAGGTGCAGGAAGTAGAAGTTGCAAGTAGAACATAGGAGGAACCATTGGCTAGCTTTTGCCGATAGCAACTTGTTATATTATAGCTACTTGTTTGACTCTTCTTACTAGACTGTGAATTCCTTGGGAGCAGGGACTTCTGTCTTGTTCATCTGCATAGAATTAGTACCTGTCTGAATCGGGGCCTGTTCACATTCGGGGAATACTCACTGATGGCGTTTTTGAGCAGTGATGTTAGGTCACCAGGAAGGATGCTCTGGTAGTTACAACTCAGGCTTAAGTAGGATGCCAGGTGTCACAGCCGCCCCGACGGCTGTCAGCCTGAAGGGGGCATCCAGGATGTGAAATGTGTCTGAGTGGGCTTTGCCCCCTTGGTCAGTGACTCTGGGGTAGACCACCTAGAACCAGGGGACTCCTGTGATGGACCTGGAAGAGGCTTGAGCGTCAGGACAGATTAAATAACCCTCGCCCTCTGTCGGACTGTGACCGTGACTGTGACGTGGCGGGGAGAGGCCTCCGACAGACTGATCGGGAGGACTTACTGAGTTGTGGCTATGGTTTCCGGGACTTCTTTGCGCACAGTTCCTCCCTGTCTTATCTGCCTGGCAAAGCGGGCAGGAATGGGCCTGCGAATTTTTCATTCAGCTCATTTATTTGTTTCATATGCAATCAGAACTTTACCACCTTTTATTATTTACACAAAGAAAAGAGGATACGAAAACCACACTAATTTTACTTTAAACTGTACATACTCGTTTTTAAAGGCTGGCATGAAAGACCATGTTATCGGTATAATATTTTTCTGTTTCCCCTCCCCATATATGCTACAATGAACATACGTTCCTTGAGGAGTAAAAGAGCTATGCTGTAAGAAGAGTATCAAGCTTTCAGGCCAAGCCCTCTACCAAGAGATGGTTTGGGCCCCTCTGATCTTAGGCACGGACCACAGCAGGTCTGCTGTGCAAACCTCCAAGCAGCCAAATCCAAGGAATGCCTCGCTCACTCTTGTGTCCCCCCAGGGCCATCACCGTGCGCGTCCCCGTGCCCTCAGCAGGCGTCGTGGATATCCCCATCGTGGAGAAGGAGGTGCAAGGGCAGCAGCAGCACCACAAGGTGGGTGAGCCGCCCCCCGGGAGGACAGGTTTTCTGCTTGTCCGTTGACATCACATCTGGATTTCTTTGGCTTCAGATGACGCTGTCCCCAAGCTACCGCATGGACAATGGGAAGATGGTGAGAATGCGGACCAGCCGGAGCGCGCACGTGGCTGTGACGCAGTACCAGGTGCTGAGCAGCACCGTCTCCTCCGCCCTGTTGGAGCTCCATCCTGTTACTGGTGAGGGTGCTGCCACTCCACGGTGGGAGGCGCCGCTGTCCTGCAGGGATCCCAGTGCTGCTGGGCTCTGCCCTTCTGAGCAGCTGGTACTGTGGGGGTAGAATTGCAGCTGACTTGTTGGAGAGGCTGGGAGCTCCAGGAGAGATAATAGTTAAAAACAGTAGGTAGCTGTCTGGCCAGCGTGGCTCAGTGGTTGAGCATCGACCTATGAACCAGGAGATCAGGGTTCGATTCCCGGTTAGGGCACAAACCTGTGTTGTGGGCTCAATCTCCAGTGCAGGAGGCAGCCGATCAGTGATTTTCTCTCATCAATGATGTTTCTATCTCTTCCTCTCCCTTCCTCTCGGAAATCAATAAAAATATATATTAAAAAAAACAACAACAACAAAAAGCAACAACAGTAGGTAGCAATGAGATATAAATAGTTTGTTTACACTTATTTAAAATAGTGCCAAGTGGTTCCTCAAAAAAATTAAGCATAGAATTACCATGTGATCCAGCAATTCTACCCCTGGGTATACATCCAAAAGAATTGAAAGCGGGGATTCAAAAAGATGCTTGCACACCAATGTTCCTAGCAGCACTATTCACAGTAGCCAAAATGAAAGCATCCCAGATGTCCACTGACAGATGAATGGATGAACAGTGTGGTATATCCACACAGTGGAATATTATACAGCCCTAAAAAGGAAGGAAATGCTGATATGTGCTGCAACAAGGAGAGACCTTGAGGGCAATATGCTGAGTGAAATAAGCCAGGCACAAAAGGACAAATATTGTATGACTAGAGGCCTGGTGCACGAATTCGTGCACGGGTGGGGTCCCTCAGCCTGGCTGGCAACTGGGGCTGATTGGGGCCGACTCTCCCAGTCCCGATTGGGGCAGCCGGTGGGGGAGGGGGGGACCGCAGGAGGTTGTCTGGCTGCAGGAGGTTGGCTATGGGAGCGCACTGATCACCAGGGGGCAGCTCCTGCATTGAGCGTCTGTCCCCTGGTGGTCAGTGCGCATCATAGCGATCGGTCAACCAGTCGTAACGGTTGCTTAAGCTCATATATATAGATTCCAGTGATATGAGATACCTAGAGTAGTCAACCTAATAGAGGCACGGTGTTCCAGGGGCTGGAGGGAGGAGGAGATGGGGAGCTAGTGTTTAATGGGTACAGTTGCAGTTCAAGACGATGCAAAATTTCTGAGATGGATGGTAGTGCTGGTTGTACAACAGTGTGAATATACTTATGGCCACTAAGCTGTACACTTAAAAGTGTTCAAATGTTAACTTTTATGTTATATATATTTTGCCACAATAAAAAAAAAGTAAGATAATACTATTGAGTTATATAATAGAATTATTTTTTGAAAACCCAGCATGGCAGAGATAGACACCAAGTTGATGCTAATGGCTGTCTGTGGCGGAAAGGGGACTGTGAGGGGGAGGGGAAATTGGGGGTGTAACAGTATTTATAATGTTTACCCCCTAATAGCTTATAGGTTGTTATACTGTTCTTTATACTTGAATGTAGTTAGGGCTTTGCCAGCTTACTGTGCTTTGAGTTAATGGATTAGAAGCAGATGCTGCCAGGGGCACTCTTTCTGTAGCCGCTTACAAGTCTCTCTCTCTTTTTCTTAAAGGAGTAAAACATCAGCTTCGCGTTCACCTGTCTTTTGGATTGGATTGCCCAATCCTTGGCGATCACAAGTACTCGGACTGGAATAAGTTGGCCCCCCAGGTAACATGGGTTTGACCCGAATTGTAGCCGACTATGGGGCAGAACTTGGGCCTCCCCGTGCGAAACCCCTAGTGAGTCACAGCAGGACATACCGAGGGGCGCCAGACGCGGCAGCACCAGTTACCGGCATAGGGAGAACAGGAGCAGCCCGCTGCTGCCCTCATGCCCCTCAGGGCCTCAGCAAACCTTTCTGCTGCGTGATTTGTCTCAGATTTTGGGTTTTTAAAAAAAATAATTATATATATATTTTTTAATGGTTTCAGAGAAAGGAAGAGGGAGAGAGAGATAGAAACATCAATGATGAGAGAGAATCATTGATTGGCTGTCTCCCCCACGCCCCACACTGGAGATCAAGCTTGCAACCCGGTCATATGCCCCAACCGGGAATCGAACCGTGACCTCTTAGTTCATAGGTCGATGCTCAGCCCCTGAGCCACGCCGGCCGGGCAAGTCTCTGGTTTTGTTAGGAGACTGTGGGGAAAGGAGGCTCTCTGAAGGTTCATAGTCACCTTTCATGCTGCTGAAGAGCATGCTGGGAGCTTCTTGTCCTGGTGCCCAGCCCATTCCGTGGAGGGCAGAGAACTGGCCATTCGGGCCTCCCTGCTGTGGCGGGTGCTCCTACCTGGGTCCCCAGCCCTTCCTGTTGGTGCTTCCGCGGCAGGCTGCGATGCTGCCTCTCCCGGGGGTGCTCCTGTCCCGGCCTCCAGTGCCAGGCTTCTGACCTGCATTGGGTCAACGGTGCCCTGTTGCTGGCGCCGCTCTCACAAGGCCTCTGTTCTTTGTGCAGAAGCTGTCTGCCGGCACTCTGCGGAAGCTGGGGCTGCCACAGTCGAAGGCCCGCCACCTCCCTCTGCACCTGCATGCCCGCCAGCTCGTCCTGCCTGCCCTGGGGTCCAGGAACGAGGAGCTCAGCCTGGTCTGCAGGCTCCCTCGATACTTTGTACGCTCTCTGAGCCGCCTGGGCTTAGAGCTGCCGAGTCAGGATCCAGACGAGCAACAAAGCTGAGCCCCTGGGAGCTCAGGGGAGACACCTGGGCCCCTGGGATCTCCGGGGAGACAGCTGGACAGTGCGCACTGGCCCTGAATTCTTCCCTTTGTTGAATGGACGTGGCTGACTTCTCCCGTTGGACAGACTCCAGAAGAGCCAAGTGAGAAGTTGAAGGACCCCAGCTGCTCACGGCTTTTACTGGAAACTGAAGTGTATTTTCTGCTATTGGGCCACATTCTGGGAAAGCCTGTGGGAAGTCTCCCTGCCTCGGGGTCATCTTGCCAAAATGGAAGAGAGCCCAGGACCAGGCAGGTGGGGTCAGTAATTGGAAACGGAGAACTGCAGCACAGAACCTGTGAGCAGGCACTTTTCACCCAACAATAAAGCTCTTGGTCCACCAGGAAGGCTCCTGTAGTTGGAAAGCGCGTGGTTGGTACTGACGGATCGAGAAATTCAGAAGCAGCCCGTCACTGTCTTCGTGGAGCTGCGGGACCATGAGCAAGTCCTTCTGCCTCGTTTTCCGTCTCAGGTTTTATAGACACAGAATTCAGGGATTCCCTCCAGCTCCAGCCTGTGAGCCGTGCTTCACCAGTGGTCGTGGGGCCCGGGACGGGTGCGTGACAGCAGGAAAGCGGATAGAAACGCAGGCAGATAACAGGAAGGAGTGAGGCGGGCAGGTGTACACGTGGCGAGGGCACACACGCTGTCTGAAGAGGGCATTTGATGGCTCCGTCTGGGTGTGGCTGTGTGGGAACAGCTGTTATAATTATTTTCAGAATCAGGAAATCCAGATGTTTATGTGAAATCTCCCCGTATGTTGCTAACTAAAGCAATTTAAAAATATATTTTTATTGATTTCAGAGAGGAAGAGAGAAAGAGAGAGAAACATCAATGATGAGAGAGGAACATTAATGAGCTGCCTCCTGCATGCCCCACACTGGGGATCGAGCCCGCAACCCGGGCATGTGCCCTGACTGGGAATCAAACTGTGACCTCCTAGTTCATGGGTTGACGCTCAACCACTGAGCCACGCCGGCTGGGCCGTATATAAATTTTTATGTAGATGCATGTTTTCATTTCTCTTGAGTACACTCCTAGGAGTGCAATTGCTGGGCCATATGGTAACTCTTAGTCTGCTTAACACTTTTTAGAATTCCAGATTTTTCCAAAGCAGTTGCACTATTTTCCTTACCAGCAACAATGCATCACGGTTCAGTTTATCATCAACACTTGTTATCACCCATCTTTCTGATTATAGTCATCTTGGTGGATGTGAAGTGCTTTCTCATTACGTTTTTATTACATTGAGGAATAATTGACATAAAACATTATATTAGTTGCAGGTGTACAACATAATAATTCACTATTTGTCTATGTTGTGAAATGACCGCCACGTAAGTCAACATCCATCACCATACAGTTACAAACGTTCTTTTTCATAATGAGAACTTATAAGATCCATTCTCTTAACAACTTTAAAATATGGAATAAATACAGTATTATCAATTATAATCATCATGATGTACATTATATCCCCATGTCTTACTTATTTTTTAACAGGCAGTTTGTACTTTTGGACACTTTCACCCATTTTGCCCAACCCTCACCCCTACAACCCACCAATCTATTCTCTGTATCTATGAGCTAGGTTTTGGTTTTGGTTTTTTATTCTTTTAAAATATATTTTTATTGATTTCAGAGAGGAAGGGAGAGGGAGAAAGAGATAGTAACATCAATGATGAGAGAATCATTGACCTGCTGCTCCTGCAGGCCCCACACTGGGGATCGAGCCCGCAACCCGGGCATGTGCCCTGACTGGTGATCTGGTTCACAGGTGGTCACTCAACCACTGAGCCATGCCAGCCAGCCGGGCTTTTTGTTTTGTTTTTAGATTCCATATAATAAGTGAGTTTCTAGGATATATTTGTCTTTCTCTCTCTGATTTATTTCATGTAGCATGATGCCCTATTTTGTTTGAAGAAATATCCAAGTCTTTTGCCCCTTTTTAAAATTATTTGCCTGTTTATTATTAAGTAGTAAGATTTCTTTAAAAATTCTGAACACCAGTCCCTTAACCAGATATATTACTTGCGAATATCTTCTTACCTTCTGTGGGCTGCCGTTTCACTTTCCTGATTATATTATCTGCAACATGAAGGTTTTAAATTTTGATGTAGTTTAATTTGTTTTTTCCTTTTTGTGGGTTGTGTTTCTGGTGTCAGACCTAAGAAAACATTGCATAATCCAAAGTCTTGGAGATTTCCTCCTATATTTTATCTAGTAGTTTTTTAGTTTTCACTTTACATTTAGGTCTACCATCCAGTTTAAGTTCATTTCAGCGTATGATGAAAGGGTCCAAGTTTGCATGTGGGTCTAGCTATTCCAGCACCAGTTGTTGAAAAGGTTATTCTTCCCCCCATGAAATTTTTTGGTAAGCTGACACTTTTTAAAAATTAATTTTTATTGATTTCAGAGAGGAAGGGAGAGAGAAAGAAGCCTCAATGATGAGAGAGAATTGATCGGCTGCCTCCTGCATGCCCCACACTAGGGATCGAGCCCACAACCCAGGCATGTGCCCTTGACTGGAATCGAACGTGGGACCCTTCAGTCCACAGACTGATGCTCTATCCACTGAGCCAAACCAGCTAGGGCAAGCTGACATTTTTAGGGTTGTGCTGGGTCGAATATAAATAATTTCATAGGGCACATTTTAGTTTTATTACAGTATTAATGTGAATGAAGCAAAACAAGAAATAACGGTAGTTCCTGGTCTGGCCACGAGATGGCAGCAGCCTCCTGGGTTTGATCCGTTTTCTTGGGGAGCTACTCTAAGTGGGACTAGGTTTTACAAGTATAGGGTATCCTACACAAAAGGATTGTGCTGTCTCTCTAACCTCCTCATGACCCTGACTTCGGCTACCCCAACGAAGTCAATTTCGGTCCCTACTTTTTTAGTAGAAAACTTGTCGTTTTCTCTTCTCTGGTGGAATGAGGTAGTAGGGCTTCCTGATTGTGGTTTGGACTCGCCACCCGAGTGAATTTGAAATAGATTGTGACTCACAAACACTCAGCCGTAAAAGTACTACACGTTCATGATAGGAATGTGGACGCATAATCAGGCTGCTCTCAACTATCAAAAAGCCTCATGGACAGATGCACTTACTACCACAGCTTCGCCAAAATGCCAAGAGTTCTTAGCTCTGGGCTGGTTTTATTTATTTATTATTTTTTTATAAATATATTTTTTTATTGATTTTTTACAGAGAGGAAGGGAGAGAGATAGAGAGTTAGAAACATTGATGAGAGAGAAACATCGATCAGCCACCTCCTGCACATCTCCCACTGGGGGATGTGCCCGCAACCCAGGTACATGCCCTTGACCGGAATCGAACCTGGGACCCTTCAGTCCGCAGGCCGACGCTCTATCCACTGAGCCAAACCAGTTTCGGCGTGCTCTGGGCTGGTTTTATTTGGGCTCAGTGTAGTAATGATTTCCATTCCATCTGTTGGTCAGAAGCCCTGATCGATAGTTGTGATTTTGACTAATTTACAGGTCGAAATATTATAGAATAAATAATGGAGGGAAGATAAGGGTGACTAGTTTGGAAGCCACAATGTATTAGAGTTGCAGCACACGTGCGTCTGCTGGCGCCCTGCCCTTCTCCGTCCTTCCTGGATGGTGCTCACCCAGGGTAGGCTCGCCCTGCCTCCCGCTGGACTCCGCTGCTCCCACAGCCTTTCTGACGAGGATTTAGGCGTCCTCAGGCCCTCACCTCTCACCCACCTCCCACTGCATGTGTGGGCCTCTGAACCCCAGTGACAGAGCTAACTGCACACCCCCTCCCCTGACACAACTACCCAGCCTGCCCTGGGGAGCTGTGAGGGTGGGGGCAGGGAAGGAGTGGGCAGCAGCAGGGCAGCCTCCCCCACGCAGAGATCCAGGCGAGGCCAGCGCTGAGCGAGGAGGCTCTGCTAGCCTGTCTTTCAGCACTTGGGAGCTGTTCCCATCCGTCCATCAGCAGCCTCCAGGAGCCAGGAGTGATGACCTGGACCCATTCAGGGAGCAGAGCACGGGGAGCGGTTCCCCACTTTGATGTGAGCCGGCCGCGAGGGAGCAGGAGGTGAGGGCCAGGGGGAGGGTTACCTAGACAATCTCCTCTCCCATCACAGGCTTCCAGGAGCAAAGACGCCAGCCTGTCCTCTCCCCTCTGTCACTGCCCCTTCCTGGGCCCTCTGATCTCCCCCAGGCTACTCAGGGCCCCTTGTCCCAAAACTCCAGCCTGTGTGCTGACTGTGGCCCCATCACCCGCTCACACACCTCTTTGGAGGGGGGATGAGGGACATGGTTGGAGGGGTGGCTGGGGACCAGGGATGCTGGCAACAGAGTCCCTGGGGCGGGGCCAAACCATCGACTTCATTCTAAGGGGTGTACAGTAATTACTTCATTCAGGAAACTCCCAGATCTGAGAGCCAGGAGAATTGTCCCTGTGCAATCAGGAATCTCAGTGTGGGGAGGGGCCTCTCTCTGCCTTCGTTGCTAACAGGCAGCTGCCAAGGACTCACAGCAAGGAGCCCAGTATCTCCTGGGGTTCCAGCCTCACTGCTGGAGGGAGAGGAGATGGAGGACGAGGACAGACGGACACACACATACACACACACACACACACACACACACACCAGGGCCTCCTTGAGCCAGGCCTGAGAGGCTGCCAGCCCATCCTGGCCCAGCCGGGAGTCTGGCCTCTTTCCTGTCTAAAGTTACAGAATTTTCCAGAAGTTTCCCTGTTTGGTTTTCTTTTTCTGGAGTTATAAACCAGATTTCCCCTTTCTCCCCCGCCCCCTTTTCTGACCTAGGGAAGAAAAGCCAAAGAGGGAAAGACAGGGCAGGACAGAGGGCCTCTGAGCACACCCAAGGCTAACCCTTTCCTTCCCCCCTCCTGCGCTGGGGTTCCAGGAACCTCATGGTAACAGTAGCTTCAATAGTCAACGTGTGTTGCCCATGCAGATCCTCTTAGGTGTATTAGCTCATTAAGCTCCCAATCCCAGCCTGTGACTAGACCATGCTTCCTAATTGTCATTTCTGAGTTACAGACGAGGGCCAGGAAGCCCGAGCTTTCATCGGGTGAGGCAGCAGAACTAGGTTGGCTCTCTTTGCAGCCTTTCTGGTACCTCCACTGCCCCCCGTGTGGCCCAGGTGACCTCATGCAGCCGTCCCAGATCATACTGCAGCCCTGAAAGGAGAGTGAGGTGTGTGCCTGGAACAGGAGCACCTCACAGAGGGGAGCCTCTCACAGAAGGGAGCCTCTCACAGAGGGGAGCCTCTCACAGAGGGGAGCATCTCACAGAGGGGAGCCTGTCACAGAGGGGAGCATCTCACAGAGGGGAGCATCTCAGAGGGGAGCCT